CTACTTCAGTTGGTGTGCAATAAATCTAAAATATATGAAAGTTTAATGTTTATCAGTACATTACAGAAAATAATGAACTTTATCATAATATGCTAATTTTTTGAGAAGGACCTGTACAAGTGGAGCCAATCTAATCCAAGATGGTCGCMACAGGAATTCAGTTTATCAGATATTGAGCTAAAAGTTGGTGTGGTAGAAGCAGCGATTCAYACTCAAAACACACTGCATGTGCTCACAACATCTCCAAATACTGAATGTCATCAAACACGTCATTATGCGCAGGAGTAAATTTTTATTGACATTTTTTAATGTGTACAGCCAAAATAAAGTTTCAATATTTCCTTGTAAACCTGAAATATGCCCCCTCCCTCCTGTTGTAAGTCRTGCATAGTGAAGCATATAAACTAGAGATGTGACGTTTGCGAACGATCCAAATTTTTGAATGGCTCTTTACAATGAATGACAGGAGCCGAATCGCAGGCAGTAATGAGCCATTTGCAGTTTTATTTCATTTATTCCTCATATAATCTATGTTTTTTTTTCATATTTAAATTGCTCCCGCTTTGCTTTTTCAAGGAAAACAGGCGGAGTTGTGGAGTACAGAGGCTCACGGTGAAAGGGGGAGGGGGTTTTCCGCTTGACAAACACGGTTCCACCCACGTGATGGGATTACGTCATCAAGTACGGCTATGTGATGACGTATTTCCCTACGCAATGACGTAATACGTTCAAAATTGAATGGCTCTTTTGAACGGCTCTCTGAAACAAACGGCTCCCCAAGATTCCTTCAAAGAGCCATTTATCCCAGTTCTAATATAAACTGCAGCGGTTTACTCACCGAGTCAGAGGAGAAAAAATAGCTTTCTTTTTCTTGTTAACTGTGGCGATGTAAAAAAGACTTTAGTTGCATGTTCTGATAAATCCATCTTAATAATTTACTAACCAGCTTCTGCTCTGTTCTGGAAGCAGATTATTTTTCGGTGACACAGAGCCAGAAACACTGCAAGCTGTCTGCAAAACGTGCCCACACAAGTGTCTCACTAAATCAGAGGTCACTAATAGGTGGACCTGGGTCCTGATCTGGACCAGAATGGTGTCTCATGCAGACCTGTACCTCATGCTACACAGACATCAGCAATGAGCGCATGTAATGTTGCATTCTGATAGACTTGAGYGTCAGTGTTAGGAAGTGCAGCGTCGTGTTTTGAAGCRTTTCAAGCGTTTGACACGTATACAGCACATCCAAAGCAGCAGAGGCTGAAGTTGGAAAATCTGACATTTAGCAGCTCAACGCAGAGCTTCAACCAATCATAGGGACTCTGCGATGTGACATATATATGTGATATATATATATAT